GAAGCTACTATGTATGAGAGGTTCACAGTATGCCCCTATCAATTCAACTATGCATTTTTTTGGGATTTGTGAAGTGGTATTAGGAGTTATAACTTTGAAATAATGTCACTGAAAAAAAAACGCTACCTTTGGACCTTTGTGTTTTCTTTAAGTAGATATGCATCCTGTATGGACTTTAAGTACCCAAACAACTTCCAGTTTTTCAAGTTTCCTTCGCCTTATTCTTATAAAGTTATCAATTACACGCTATATCGGCTTAATCATGAGTGGATAATTTTTTAGTATCTCAACAAATGTTTTCATGAACATGACACTCAGGATGCTTTTGCGCAAATCATCTGTTTCGATTGAGATCGGTCAGGTAAGCACATCAAGATATCAAGCGTGCTCAGCTAAATATTCAGATGGCTTTGTTGGAGATTATGATGCAAACTGTGGCCGCATCGCAGATTTCTAGCATTGAGCAAGTTTCTTCCCGAGATTGCTGGTCTACAAACCCAACCTAGCGGGCACTATGTGGCACTTCATTTTGCAGATGCATGTGGCGAATTCCATTCGAAACAATCTACGCTTAATTGAATCTTGCAAATTAACCAACTTACATTATAAAATCTGTAACTAGACTACTTAATTTGTGCATCAAAACATATACAATGAGAGTTTGGACCTGTTTGCGCAGCCTTAATCATTCAGATTCGTGTGTTATTTAGGTGTTGGATGATGTGCAAGTGCGCCATGGAATACTTGTTGTGTAGCTTTACTGGCTCCAAATATCAGATATTGAGGAGTTCGTGTAATGGATATTAAGAGTGGTCTAAAATTTCTACAGTGCTTGTTACGCAGAATTGGAAGTGAGAAGATTTATATCATTAGCAAATCTGAAGCTGCGGTTATGAAGAAATTCTAATAGGACAGCATTTCCCAACAAAAGATCTGCTTAATTCTAGAAGATGGGCTAATGTCTGCGTTTCCTTTTCTTACGGGCTTCTTCCTCGCCTTCGGGTGCTTCGACGGAAGCGTTATTTGCTCCACCCGCTTCGATCTCTGACGATGAAACAGTAACTGATTCAGCTGCACCTGCTCCCTCATACCCTATTCCTATAGTGGTTAGATTGTTTGCTGCACCCTCAACCTCTACAGCAGGAGTAACGCCTGCCTCGGTAGCACCAGCTGCAGTAACAGTCGCTTCAGTTGCACCAGTTTCGACAGTGCCAGCCTCAACAGTAGTAGTTTCAACGGTACTGGTTACAGTCGCACCTGCTTCGGCGGTAGCAGCTCCAGTGGCAGTTACCTCACCTGCTGTTGTAGCAGCAGTTGTTGTGACAGCGCCGGCCTCTCCTTCCACAGTTGTTGTTGGAGCAGTTGCTTCTTCCTCCACTTTTCGTTCAGCTTCTGCTGTTATGGTTGTTACGTTAATTCCTCCTGCAGTGACTGCGGCAGCTGCTTCGACAGCCACGGATGGAGCGGTAGTAGTGGCAGCAGCCGCTGTTCCTACCGTGACCGCATGGAGCATAGGACGCGGTGGACAAGGACAATATTGGGCATCACTTCCTGGTGGACCAGGCGGACCTGCCACGCCTGGCACTCCGTCGAGTCCTG